ATCCCCATTTGCTTCTAGAAAAATCTAGCCACTCGTCCAGCTTAATACTGAAATATACATATATATATATATATATATATATATATCCACTGTAGGATATCAGAAGAAAAATATGCATCAGTGGCTAAAGAAAGTCCTGAATATTATTCTTTATGAAGATTGCAATGGTAACTGTAATTTTTTTTTCCAGGTTTTTGCTTTGACAAGGCAAATAATTGGTTTAACCAAGGCAGAAACTGGGGGCCCAGCCCGTATCTACTCCAGAGGTGCTGGAGAGGCCCCGGAATGCCAGACAAGGATCTGGGAAGGGGATCCCAGCACCGTCTGGTGGAGGAGACGTTGCTGGTGGGACAGGCTGGGGCCTGCAGAAGGTTTGGCCCCAATTTGCTCCCTGCTCGTGTTCAACAGGCGGTTTTGCTCCAAGAGGGAATCCTTCCTCCCCAGCAGCAACCGCTTAACGTGACTGTTACACCTGGGAGCCCCGCGGCCCAGAGGGACGGCAGGCGAAGAGCCCAGAGCAGGAGAATTAGTATTATTCATTATTATTATTATTATTAAAATTGCAAAGGAATTCATTATAATTGCAAAGATACAACTGAAGAAGGGGAAAAGTAGCAATTTGGCTGATTTCATGCCAAATTGCACAGGCAGCGGGACGAGGCCAAAAGAGGGATGTTTTTGCCCCAAAAAGCACGAGCGCAGGGAAGCGGCCGCCCCGCGCGCGGGGCCGGGGGCCGCCGCCTGCCGCATTAAGCGCCGTGCGGCCAAAGCAGATGCGCCCGAAAGCGGCCTCTTTATGCATTCATGAGCTGTGTGGAAGGGAAATAAAAGGATTCATTACCACGCAAACTGTTACTAATGACATGTACCTGGTGCCGAGCACCTCTGGAAATGCAATGCGACACAGCAGAGGGGAAAATGTATTCGCTCGCGCCGGGGCCGGGGCCGAATGGAAAATTTCCCCTCCTTGGCCCCGGCTCATTCGGCATTCGCTAAAAGCGGCGTTGACAATTCTTCTGCCATTATGTCCTACCAGGGCCTCTGCGCTCGCTGTCACGACCTTGATATTAGCTGAAAATTGGAAATTCGCTGGCGGAGCGGAGGCAGGGAGGGCGGCGGAGCGCCTGGCTTTGCTGTGCATGGGAGAGAAAGAGAGAAGGAGAGAAAAGGAGAAGGAAAGAGAGAAGAAAGGGAGAGAGGAAGGAAGGGAGGGAGGAAGGGAGGAAGGAAGGAAGGGAGGAAGGAAGGAAGGAAGGAAGGAAGGAAGGAAGGAAGGAAGGAAGGAAGGAAGGAAGGAAGGAAGGAAGGAAGGAAGGAAGGAAGGCGGGCAATGGCACTGGTGCAGAGTGAGGCTGCACCTTGGCCATGAGCTCCCCTGCACTTTTGAGCCCCTTCAGCTCTGCCCTCGCCAGCGCCTGGCTCTTGTTTAACAGGAAAGAGCCTCTTCCTTGGCACGTTGGCCAAGTTTTGGCTCCTTGCGTCCTCCATCCCGCCTTTCCCTGCCCCGCGTCCCCTCTTCTCCCAGCTCCGTCCTGGGGCCGGCTTCGCTCCTGCTCTCCTGGCAGCCCCATCACTTGTCAGGTTGCTTCGTAGCCACTTCATTAGCCCCCGCTCCCTCGTTTACTGAGGGCCGCTTGTCTTTGTCGGAGAGCTTTCTAATTTAATCAAGGTTAGAGACACAATCCCGGGCCGTGTTTGCCCAGCACGCCGGCCCTGCTCTCTGATTAATTCCCAGGACGTCACATGTGCTGTTCTGGTTTGTTCATCATGGCTTTTTCCCCATGGCATCTGATTCTGGAGGCTGTGCACCAGGTGTCTGCAATGGCCTCGTTTCTCTCTTCCCTTCAAGGACCACGTGTGGGCTGAGGGAATCTGGCTGGAGGGCCGTGGTCCTTGGGCACCGCATGGATTTAGGAGCGTCGTTCTTGGCAAAGATGCTGCGTAAAGCAAGGTTGTCCTGCTGAGGATGATATGAGAAAAGGCAGGATAAAAATGGGAGCAAAAAAGGGGAAATTCTGTTAGAAATGTTTAAGAAATAATGAATTTCTGAAACCCAGGGGGTTAGCCATCTCTTCAAAACCTTTGGCGATGTTGTTGGATTCACCCTTCTCTGCTCTTCCATACCCAGATCTACAGTAGGCCACATCAAAAAAGCGCCCACTTCCCTCCATAGCAGGATCGTAGCAGTGCTGCCCTCCCCTCCTCAGTTTTAGGAGGCTGAAATTGGGCTGAGAAAGAGCAAGAGGTTTCTGCCTGGTCAACACGACCCGGCTGCGGGTTGACCACATGGCCTGCTCGGGGGGCAGCTTCCACCTCCACTTCCCTGCGGATCACGCTCGGCTGCAAGGAACAGCGGACCTTGATGCTCTTCAGCAACAGGAACATCAGGGCTGTTCACTTTGGAAGGAGCAGGCTCTGTGGGAGGTTTCCATGGGATATTCGGCATCGATGAGCTTCCCATTGGAACTGTGCAACAAACCCAACCCTCATGTGGCCTGGGCTCTTCTCGAGGCCTTGGAGACCTCCCGGGGCCGCCTCACGTGGGTGCTCCACGCTCCTCTCCCCACCCGGCGCTTTGCCCCGGGCAGCCAAAAAAAGGCTACGGCTGCTTCAGGGTCAATTCAATTACCCACCCGGTGTGAAGAGGACCATAAACCCCCTCCAAAGCGTTGGCCTTCACAGCCCCCTGCCCCATTTTTCACACCGCCTTGGTAGGGAGGAGAGGAGGCCAAGGGTGGGTGCAAATTGGGCACAAATTGCACAAATCTGAGGTTTGGGCCATGTCAAACATATCAAACATGAGCAGGGACCTCCTTTCCATAGTGACTCGATGCCACTCAATAGCCCCTCCATCCATCCCCTCTAGCCCCAATGATCCAGGATGATCCAAACAGGGAGACAGGGAAGGTGTGGGAGAAGTCAATGCACAAACAGCGAGTGCCGGGCTGGGAGGAGGAGCGGGAGCATCCGCACGGATCCCTGTGGCAGTTCACAGCTGCCTCCTCCTATTGCCATGATTAGGCCCTGATTAACGAGCGTCTTTCAGCCATCAGCCTTCATTACCGCCGCCTTTCCAGAGGCCTCCGGCTCCTGCCGCCTCGCAGGAGTGGACAGGGTGGGGCCGGGGGGGCGCGCCGGCCCCCCCCCTCCGGATGCCGCCCGTGTCCTGGGTTCAGCTGTTTTCGGGAGGGGGAAACGCTGACCCAAATGAGGAGCCCCTATATCCAAACACCCCCCTTGGGCAGCATCCGTGCACAACCACCGGCTGGTAATATTGGAAAGCTGGGAAATCTCACAGTTCATCTATGAAACAGGGATAGTGCCTTTTTTCTGGGAGGCTAAATTCCTTGGAAGCTCTTGGAACTTCCTCCTCGTGGCTCTTTACCAGGGCTTGCAGACCATATCCCCTAAGACCTGCAGGAACATATAGGAACGTGTCCAGGAATGGCCCCCTGCTCAAACGGCGCAGGAGCGTGTTTGTTAGGGCCTGTCTTGGAGCCACTGGAATTGCTGTCCGAAGGAATGGCAGGACGGAGAAGGAATGGGTCAATATTCCTGGGGAAAATGGGAGAGGGAAGAATACGGCGCTGAGGCTCCAATGGGTGCCCTAATGTCGCCTCTACCAAGGGAGGGAAAAATGCTTAATTTTTAAACGTGGCTCTGGATGGCGAGGGAAGAGTGAAAGGGAGAAGAGGGAGAAGGCGGGGGGAGCCAGAGCCTGCGGGCGCTCAAGTTTCAGGGCTCCCAGGGAACCGCAGAGCCCTGAGCTGTTTTCCCAGGCTGCGGGAGGCGGCGCAGCTGGATCCCCCCGGCCGGGAAGGGGAGGGAGCCTGAAGCGGAGCCAAGGCCCCGGCGGGGGCACCGGGCCCCCGCCC